TAAGAACACCGTGGCTATCTGGAACTTCCAGGTGTGTCAGATTGTGTGGGACCCACTGGACACAGTAGTTCTTCCCTCCAGCTGCTTTGTCAATACTGTGTACCGAGTCCTATAATAAAGTAGTGGCTGGCAGGAGCCACATCACTATCCAACACTCCCAATGCTCGTATCTCTAGAACTCAGGGAACTTTTCACTTACTGCCTGCTGTAGAGGTAAGTATAAACCCTCTGCTTCTTTGCTTCTTTTGCCTATATCATTTTTATACAATTTTATACAATTCTGCCTCTTTTTTTGTCCCCCTTTCTTTCTTGTGTCAACAGGACCTGCATAGAAACTGGCTTTAAACCAACAGATATTTAAAATTACAATAATATCTATTTAAAAAAAATATATAGATATATATATATATATATAACACACACACACACACAGTATATACTGTATAATGTAATTATATTTAAATAAATAACAAATATCTTCAGATTTTATTCTGTGACTTGACATTTTGAATGTGAATTCCCCCTGCATAAGTGGCTGTAATGACAGCTGCATGTGTTATAAGCTGAGGCACAATCAGTAAGAATTCAGGAGCAGCCAATAATGTGTACAATTAGCACAATTCACTTTAATGCCCCTTTGCCCTATATGTATTTATTACTTACTACATTTTTACACAATGTATTGGGAAATTGATATTTTACTGTAAATAAAAGTAATATACCAAATAAAACTTAAAGGAGAACTATGAGATGAGTGATTTCCACTCACCTCATAGTTCTAAGCCGAGCTGTGACAATGAGACTGTCATAGGTCGGCTCAGTAGATCGGGAGGTGAGCGAACACATACCGGGTTCCCTCACCTCTCGATCCTGTCACGGCTCTCTGCCGTGACAGGGGGAGGGGTTGGATTACCCTCTCCCCGCTCCGATCTGCCAGCGCTGACTGGCGGAACGGACGGGGGAGGGGGCGGGTACAGCTGGCTCTGCCTCTAGGTAGGCAGAGCCAGCTGTCACTCACGCAGCTGGGCGGATCCCGTCATCTAAGTCAGGATCCGCTCCAGGTGCGGCGTCTCAGTATACCGCGAGCTGTAGCTCACGGTATACTGAGCTTAGGGTAACGGGAGGACGCTAGTTTGTGTCCTCCCGCTACCCTAAGGAGAACTATGGGGAAAAACACTGACCCCATAGTTCTCCTTTAATACAAACTTATTTATTTTTGGCCTTTCTGCTCTGACACTTAACCTGCTGGAAAGATGTTACTGTTAGGCCGCCTAGACCTAAATCCTTTCCAGAAAGTATTTTCAATGCTAAAACATATAAAAAAAGTATAGTGGCCAACCCTCAATTTTTATTTTATTTTATATATTTGCTTGGAATTATTGCAGAAGCACTCACGATTAAGTATTAATCCAGCTTTCTTTTTCACCTGAAAATTATTCAACTTACTCATGTTCTACTCCTATAAAAATTTTCAATAAAAAATAGCAAGCATTTTTCAAATGCAAAAATGCAGACTACTCAACTGGCTGCTGTCCATGGTTTGGGAAATAAATTAGTGAATGTTATACCAGACATCCTATATTGGTGCCACAAAACACATTTCCTCAGCGAAAGCTTTGAATGTTATGATTTTTATGACTCATAGTGAGATAGAGTTTGTAGGAAGATGAGTGACACAAGTTATACAGACATATTATTCATTCATATTCTCTCCACATAAGTCATCAAGCTGACTCTCAATGAAAATATGGCAAAATCATTCGACAGCACTGAATAGAGAGAAGAAAAATGAACAGTTTCACCTGCTCTTTGAATCCTCGTGTGATTAATACATTTACAAATATTCTGTTTTAATGCCTTTTTTTTTCCAATTGTGCCTCGAGGACTTAGCTTTTGCTGCACCTACAGCCCATCATGCATTCAACAAAACTCTAAGGGCAGCCTTTGTCAAACTTTTTAACATGGAGGAAACCTTAAAAGACCTTTCAAGTCTTATAGAACCCAGGCGGGCTGGAGAATGTAAGGCCATCAGCAGCTAAATAAGATTATCCTCCTGCTCACTCTGCTCTCTCCTCCTGTACACTATGTCCTTGTCAGCACTTGTCCATGCAATGCATCCGGACGGCCCCTAGTGCAGTCCTCCTTCTCCTAGTCTGGGGGGTTTTTTTGCACAGGGGATTACAGCAGGTTTATATTAAGTCAAATCCAGGTACTTACACTAGCTGCATTTAAAAATACATCACAGTTCTTCAGAATACAGGTGCCTACAATAGGCATATTAATCAGTGTTTTATTCATAGCTACCTAGAGTTTAGCATTAAGAATCCTTTCTTTTTGATATAAAAGAGGGGCCAATATTTTCCTCTCTTGGATACTGAAATAACGTACCAGGAAACTCAAGGAAACAAGCTGCAGAAGGTTTAGATGAGCTGAGGTCACGATAGGAACAAGAAGATGTTGCCATCAGATCTACGGCCAACCAAGGTGTAAGTGGCCCACTCCCAACCCATTTAAACATTCTGATGCAACATCAATATGAAGACGTTGGAGATCCCGCTGCTAGGAGGTGATGATGAGCGCTTCCAGTATCAGAAGCACTCATTATCCAGCAAAAGTGAGTGTAGGAGATTACTCTATAAGCACTCATAAACACAGACTTTGCACCTTGTGCAATACTTTAGTCTGTTGAATGCATCACACAAGAATTAGTAGGGGTCCCGGCACTACAAATGACAGACAGATGTCTTCCCATTGGTCTTCTCAGGGAGGCATGTTTTAAAACCCTTGACTTCGGAAAGGAGTCCTAGCTGCAATAAAATTCACATAGCAATGACATTGCCAAAACCAACACCAATAAACAGTGCAAAGATACAGTAGGTATACATTACCAGAAATAAGCACATATATACTCTCCATACACACTACAATACTGTCTGTTATCTCCTGGAACTGTAAGTGCTAACTAGTAAGCAGAAAATAACAAGGAAACTTTAGCTTGGAAACGGCTTTGTCTGTTCAAGGTTTACTTATGCAAGTCAGAAAGTGACTATGATGTCGAAGCACAAACACAGCAAATACAAGATTATAACAGTTTATGGGACCACTCAACTCACAACAAAGAATTACAAAAAGTGTGTTTGTGGGAAATTACAAAGTAGAAGATTTTTTATACCCTTCACAGCTGGAAGTAATTTATTTATTTTAGAAGAGTGGTCAATCAGTTTTCAAAAACCTACTTCTAGATAGGCAAGCTTAGACGTGGCTGCTCAACTGGACAGTTGGCTGACAAATCTTTGAATAGAATTAGCCACATACAAGAACGGAAATTGGGCATTACCATCCCCACATCAGGATCATTCATGCAAAAATGTAGCATTATGACTGGATTCTCCATTCCTGCCCATTTAGTATCCAAGCAGACAACAAATAGATAACCACAGTAGAAACAGCTAGGCAGAAAGCAATATTGGAGTATAACAAGGGTGGACCAAATAATGTACAATTCCAGAGCTAGTCAGCCCACTTTCAAAGCAAGCATGTACTTTTTAGGGGCCAACAAATACGTCCTTCCAATAATATATACAGAAAAGATCAGGATAACAATGCACTAGCTGTAGTTTTTAAAGCAACCCTGTCATTAATGCTAAGTCTACCAAAACAAATACCCTAAATAAAACAGTGTATGTGTTCTGCTGCCTGTGCTGCCAAACACCGCTCCATTCCAGAAAGAACCAGTTAAGGGTTGTTGGGGACCAAGGAGATCTACACTTTCTGAAGTATGGGTTTCCCAGTGCAATTCAGGTGACCATTCCTCTGGAACGCAGCAGTGTTCCGTGGCAAGGGCAGCAGGGAAGGTATGCAAGTGTTCACTTGTAGATTATTTGTTTTGGCAGATTTAAAATTAATGCCAGGGTTGCAGTAAAGCAGTCTTGCTACCTGGTGATTGTCTGACCATAATGTTTGGCCAATGCACTAAGGTTAAAGCTGAACTCCAGGTATACCTATTTATGTATTATTACATTGGTTCAGCTTGGCCCAATGTAGGTATACATATTTTATACATGGGTGGGTCATGGGGATCCTGTAAAACACAATGTTTACAGTGATCTTCCAGGTCTTGTACTACCACTGACTGAGTGACTTTCCCTCTGCTGTGAAAACACAGGGGCTGTGTCTAGAATTCATATTATCAATGTATACTATGCATTCTTTCATTGGACAAGGGGCAGTGACATCACTGAGGTTTCCCCAATCTATCCATAACTAAAAGAAAAATATCTTGGTCATCCTGGATAGTATATAATTAATGTTCTTAATATTTAATTATAAATACATAATTATATTTCATTATTTCACTAGAGAATTGTTTCTCAAATGCATGACACTATTTTTTATTTTGTTTAATAAGCATTTTTGCTTTTTTTCTCTCTGCTTCCACGTAAAAAAAAAAAATGTAAATTTACTTAAAGTGTATGTCCAGCCAAAACCTTTTTTTGATAGAGAAGGGGATAGAGGTTATAACACCTGTTAGGTTTTCACTGCTATATGGCAGGAGAAGACATGGGAAGGGGAAATACCAGATAGCAGTATAAACCTGGCAGGAGTTCTAATTTTTCCCACTCTAAAACCTCACCAAATCTAGCAAAAAAAGTTTTTGGCTTTACATACACTTTAAGTCATAGCTTGTGTGCCACGATACATCATCACGTTACATCTCATCATGAGAGATCTATCCATTTGTGGCAAGTTGTAGGGTTCACAGGGATGGATTAGATTTCAGGTTTCACAAATTGGTTGGCTGTTATGACAATACCATTTGTAGGTTTGTAACATGAGAATGTCTCCTTTAGAGAAAAGGCTCTGCCGGTAGATCAGTGCCGCACGAAAAGCAGAGTTAACCCCAGGCTGTTCACAAATAATCAATTTTTCCCCTTGTAAAAGAGAAACTGAGGAAATATCACATAGCAGACATATAAACAAAATAATAAATGGCTTCCTACCTGGTGATAAGCACGGCGTTGTCATGGTGAGCGATACCATTTTCTGGAATAGTGTTGCCATCGCTCTGGTGTGAGAGAATAGATTTCTGCCATTTACAGAAGCTGTCGAGGGACTTGTCCGCATGGTGGTTTATCTCCAAGTTTGGCTGCAATACAACACACATACCAGGAATGTTCCAAGCAAATTACTAAGGTCAGTTGTTAAGCCTTTTGAAGACTAAAATGGGACTATAATTAGAAGCAGTGGTTTCTAGGAATAATCGCTCCTTGCCAATATTTATCTCTATAAAATCTGACCCGGAGTTCAGCCAGCGTATTACTGAACAGGCGGATTGTGTGTTCCAAATGTAATAGTGATTATGTCAATATAGCAATTTCACATTATCAGCTAAGAGGCATTTAACACGTCAGTAGGTCCACAGTACCACTGCTGAGATCATCACTGCTATGCAAGTAGCAAAACCGAACAGTCACATTCAAAGTGCAAATTGCATATTCATCTGTACTCATATGTGCCCCCCCTCACACACACACAATTCAAATTAATAGCATGTGTTCTTTAAGGCTACAGTTGCACCGGATGTAAAAGGGGTGCTTGGCATGCATTTTCCAAATCTGTCAAGCACTTCCTAAACCACCGAGGCTGAAAGGGAGTAGCAAATCTGATAATAAGGGTACCTAATGGTCTTCTACATTTAACAACTGTGTTATCTTAGCCTAAATAGGGTTTATATTAGGGGTTAGCAACTTCAGAGTTCCAGATGTGGTGAAACTACATATACGATCAGGCCTTGGCCTCTGGGAGTCATGTCTGGGGCTAGCAAGAATCTTGTAATGCCCAATGAGATTTGTAGTTCCACAACAGCTTAACTATTGGTTACTGAGCCTGCCAAAGACAAACGCCAGGAGTCAAAACATAAGAGGAGATGGGACAGCCCTAGACTTTACTCTCCAAACTCTGTATTTGAATACAGACTTTTTATGGGTTTTGGGTTCCAAAAATGCTCAAGATGACATTGAAGTGTAGAAGCAGTCACCAAAGCATTTCTGCCTTTAATGCATGCTTCTGGTTTACATATTCCTTTTTAAGGCAAAGATTAGCTTGAACAATATCCAAACCAAAACCAAAAATGCAATATACCACAGAGTACCAGAATTTAGATGTGGTAACTGCATTAATATTAATTTTTTCAGGCTAAGAACATTTTCTGCAAATACAGAAAAAGAACTGTTTATCTTGCCAGAATTCCAGTGTCCCTGTAACTTACTGTGCACTGAACTGATATATCAAACAATCCCAAACAAGTTTACCAGTTACCTTCTGTGAACTACAAAAGAATGCCTCCCAATTTAATGGGGATGAGAAGGAGAGAGGAGGAAGGGGGTTAGTAGTCTGAATCAGGAGACCAGCCTAGTGACAAACATGGCTGTCTCTACAAGGACTGTGGAGTGAGTGAACGTAGCCACCCTAGGACAGGAAGTGTGTTATTCCCCAGGTGAAAAAAATAGAAAATAAAAGCCCAAAGAAAGAAAACTAATGCAGCCTCAACATCTCAAGACTGATGAACTGCAAATTTTTGTTTTTCAGTTTAGATATGATTTAATTAGCTTCTTTGTAAACAAACTATCGTGTGAATGTGTGCATGACTGTGAAAGGGACATTAAATGTTGATATCTTTCAAAGACTGAATGACTATATGTTCTCTGAAAGTGCTTTGTATAAACAGACATTGCTATATAAAGGAGTAAAAAATTTTACTCCCAGCAGGAAAAGATAATGAAAAGATAACTCTTTTCACATGAAACTTCAGAGGCAAAAGATCATTTTCTTAGGATCCATATTCACCTAAGATGACCAGCCAAGTGTTAACTGACTTGGTCATTGTTCCAATGGGGAACAACGGGGACAGCAATTGGGTAGGTTGGAAAGAGAAGAGCAAATCTTTCTGCTAAGTTGTAGTTTTTGAAGAGAATTCCTATCTTCCAGGACATGGGAGCACAGTGGAAAAACTGATGTGGAAACTAGGACCCAGGCAGAAACATATGGTTCCATTAATGTAAAAAGTTAGGCACCAGCTGTGATTTTATTTAGGTGCATTGGCTAGCTACTCCTGGGATTTGTCCAGCCCTGAGTGATTACTATGGAATCCCATGCTGGACTGATGCTGCATTTATCATCTTAGCTTGTAAAATACACACTGCTATTCATTTAAGAGCATTTTGCATATAGAACTACTGAGTGACATGACATTTAGAAACCCTGATCTAATGCCAATAATAGAGCATTATTGAGAGAGAGACAGGGAGAGAGAGAGAGAGGGAGAGAGAGGGAGAGAGAGAGAGAGGGGAAGACAGGACCTTACCTGATCTTCTGTGAGGACTATCAATCTGGTCACTATGATATTCACAACGTTTCCTAGGCTGGAGTCACGATAAAGTTTGGCAACCTGACCTCCAGAAAAGAAGAAAAGACACAAAGTCAGACAATGACACCAAAAGCCATAGTTTACTTTCTGTGCTGTAAAAGAAAAAAAGGAAGCTTTTAAATATGGGCATGTCTACCATGGTTCTGTTCTTTGACACACAAAAGATCTTATTAAAAAGTAAAGTAATAGCTAGTATGTTCCAGTAATCCATGCAATTATTGTTGGATTATTGGAATCTCACATATACCGAAGAATGATGCAAGGAGGCTACATATACCCAGATAGCAAGGATAACTTGCCACAAACTTGTGGCAGGGTTAAATTGTAATTCTTGTTAACTTGCAGCACACATTCCTGGCAAGTTGTAGACTTTCAGAACACTTGCAGCACAAGTTCTAGTTGACACTTTTTGAATTTGTAGCAAATTTGCTTGGCAAGTCTACAGCAAGAGTCCTGTGGGTCTTAGCAAGAGCTCTGCAAGTGTACAGCACTTTTGCAAAGCACCTTGATCTGGAGACTTGCAATGCAGACTTGCTGTAATTGTGCAACAAAATTGTGAAGCTTGGCAAGTCTGTAATAGTTAAGCAAGTAATTTTCAAACTTGCAGCTTAATTGCTTGCTATCTGGGTAAGTGAGTGATAACGTTATCCCATTTATTGTGATGGCATCAGAGTCTTACCACTTAATGTAAGTGTAAAGCTGCAATTGTATTTAAAATTAAAATTCAAAAATAATTATTTGCATGAACTGTATCTAATTCCTTAGAATTAACTGTATCTACCTTAAAGTACAGGTCATGTCCACCAAGAGCATAAGCTAACATTACTGGTAAAGTGCAGGAAAGTAACAAGTAAATTATCTGCTTTATGCCTCAGGAGGATCCTGGGCCCCAATCACTGGCTGTATGCTCATCTTCTCTATAATTTAAGATGAAGTGGTTATTAAACTTGTGGGTAAAAAATAATGTAGCAGCATATTTCATTACGTTACTTTTTTCATTCAGGCCGTCGTTTCAGTTAGATTCGCCATACAAAATTTGGTGATCCCCTTTCCTCATTTTTGGGGGTTCCGCTAAACACAGGGTCTCCATGGAGCCACACTGACATGCGCACTTGGGATGGGCAGAAACTGAACAGAAGCCCTACAACCCAAACCACTCCACTGCTCCTCCTACAAGGTTGTTGAATGCCAGAGGCTTCATTCTGTGAAATATCTATAGAAAGAGCATTGCTTCATGGGACATGAAGACTGGGCATGAGTCCACAAGAGTGTGCGCTCCAAAACCGGAAAATTCAGGGAAGCACTGAATTTTTGGGGCACAGATGAGGGAAAAAACTGCACTGAGCTTAGCATAAAGGTCAATGCTTTTCTGAAGGTTTACTACTACTATAAACAGTTTTATTAAACCATTGAGGGAGAAAAAAAAAATAACGTAGCAATATAAATTAATAAGGTTCCTTGTTTGCTGTACCCTTTTTTCATCCAGTCTGTCATTTTATTTAAATTAGCCATCAGTGGTTTGGTGATCCTCATTTCCTCCTTTCTGGAGGCTCCACTGCATGTAGGGTCTTCCTAGAGCCATTATGACATGCTGACTCCTGGCCGGGGATATGCAGAAACTGCACAGAAGCTCTACGTCCCAAGCAACTTTCCAGCCCCCTACTACAAGGGTGTCAAATGACAGGGACTGAAACAGGATATCTGAGATAAAAAATTGGACATGAGGCCGCACAGTGTGGACTCTTCAGCTGGAAATTCAGAGAGGTACAAATTAAAGATAACCGACAGTAGCTACAGCTCAAGTAAGATTTTAGGGCACAAAATGTTATATTCACTATTAACTGCACAGAGGTTAACATAAAGGGCAATGTTTGTCTGAGGGTTGATAAACCCCACCCCCTTTTACGCAGACGTCTAGTGCAGATCCTCTATGGCCAGTAAAGGCTCTGACACTTCACAGGGCCTTAACCTCAACTTGGAGAGAAGATGGGATGTTGCATCTAGCCTGGGCCTTGAAAGTCCTTTTCAGGCATAAACAAATTGACCTGACAAACAGGGCAGGTACTTGCATGTACCACTAGTTGCCTGAAATGTACTAGTAATATTAATGAATATACTTTATTAAATATAACAGATTCACTTAAATGTTCAACTACTAGATATCTTTGATACATACTGGGGCTGCACCTGTCCCAGGAGCCAGGTAGCCATTTCACTGTTATATAATGTACAAGCCTTGACTTCTGCAACCTTTTTCTCCTACTACCTACATAGTGGCATATACGAGCCCTACTTTACAAAAAGGCAAAAACATACAGCTAAAAAATGGCTAGTCAAGTGCTCAACTTTTATGTCACACTTGCCCCTAAACATATATATCATATGGAAGCAGTCCTCCATTAGCTGTATTCAGGATTGTTTTATATCGGGACCTAAAATCTTACAGCTTTTGCCAACCTATCATTCTAAATCAGGGCCCCCCCCCCCAAAGGGCCAGTTCCCTGTCTTTCAGACTTTGGGGGAGGGCAGACTGTGGTCAATGGGAGTAAAAAATGCCCAGGGTTGGTGGGCAGTGGGAGTAAAAAATGTCCTAGTACTTGTGGTCAGTGGGAGGAGGAATAATGCCTCATTGTTGGTGTCAGTGTGAGGAATGGTCCCAAATTCCTGTTGTCAGTTGGATTTATAGAGCCCCATTGTTTGCATCAGAGGGAGAAATAGTGCCCCATCATTGGTTTCAGTGGGAGGAGTAATGCCCTATTGTTGGTTTCAGTGGAAGAAATATTGCCGCATCAATTGTATCAGTGGAAGGAATAGTGTAACACCTTTGGTGTCAGTGGTAGGAACAGTGCCCCATCGTGTCAAGTGCTCCAAGAGTAAGCAAAGGACCACATCTGGGCCATGGGGCTCAGTTTGGGGACCACTGTTCTCGACTGAAATGACCGATTTCTAAATATCTTATAGGGTTATTCACTAAGCTGCTGAAGTGAATAACCGAGCCAAAGTGAACAGAGCCGAACGACGTTCGGCTATTCACTCCAGCACAGTACAGCTGATTTGAGCCGTACATCGGCTGAAATCAGCCGTGCTTTGGCTGCCTTCGGTCAGCTGAATATGTTCTGCATGTTCGGCTGAGCCGAAGTGCAGAGGGACTTCGAATAAGCCGATCCAACACCTGGATCAGCTAAGCCGAAGCTCCGGCAGCTCACTCACTCTCATAGGGGCCGAACGGCCAAATAAATAAAGATATTTAAAAAAAGAAAAAACCCCATTCGGGCGGAGCTAGCAGTGACAGCTAGCTTCGTCCAACTGTTTCCTATTGGCCGCACCTGCTAGAGTCTTGCATCAGGTCCCGGCCAATATATAACTGGGCGGAGCCGGATGTGACATCGAGGCCAGCTCCGCCCAGTTGTTATTGTTTAATGACAGATCAGCGTCCCCAAATGACCTGAGGACGCTGATCTGTCATTAAACAATAACAATTGGGCGGAGCCAGCTGTGAGATCACAGCTGGCTCCGCCCAGCTGTCATTTGCAGGGCTTACGGTCAGCCTTCGGCAGGCCATTCGCCCAACTTCGGCTGTCCCTTCGGCTTAGTCAAGCCAAAGCATATGCCTTCGGCTCGCCTGAGCCACACGCCCGCCTTCGGCTGCTGTACGGGCTATAGTGAATAGCCCGCACAGCAGCGCTTCGGTTTGACTGAACCGAAGTGCTCCGGCGGCCAAAGAGAGCCGAAGGATCAGCTGAAGCTATGGCTGGACCCTTCGGCTGCTTCGTGAATAACCTCCTTAATTTTTCTAACTTTACTTTACACATCAGTCTACTAAATACTGAAAACAAAGGAACAAAAGTCTAAAAAAAGAAAATGAATGCAACCACCACATCCTGGGACCAGCAACCTGCAATATATTACACCGATGTACTTGGGGTTGGGTGCATTTAAGAGTTTCTGTTGGTTCCTAAAGTTACCATGTCTCTTGAACTATAAACCAATTTTTCCACTTCAGTTTTTAAAAACACATTATACAATAAAAGAATACATTAAATTAAACTATACCACGATCACTGTACATAAAAATAACTGTCTAAAGTATTTCAGGAGGAAAGATTACACAATCCCTGCACCGAGTGGACAGCTGTTTTGGAACCCACAAGGAACTAATTTCTTCATGATCTAATTTCCCTTCATCATCTGACAGATCACACTTAGCTGGTGTAGACTGCTCGTTCCTGGCTCTGATTGCACAGTAAAAGTACACCTACATGAGGTAGCATGTGGAGGTAATTCTAGTCAGCACTATAAATTACATGATGACATCAGTGTCTCTCCAGCCGCTACAGCAGCACAATGAATAAAGCATTCACGATGATAAAAGGAAAGCAACAGGTAATTGACACTTGTAAATGCGAACAGAGGAGTCAGTGTGCTGTGCACAACTAGCTCTTGCTCAGCGGATCTAGCAGACACTTGATGTTACAAGCCACAAAGTGCGCTCACAGATAATGTCAGCTACTTAACTGGAAAAGCTCCAAGTCCTCTTTTGAATTACATCAAACAGGAACAATTATTATAATTACTCTGCATTTACCAAGGTGTATGTTTTCACTTTATTCCAGCTTCTTATTCAATTGACAATATATTATAATCAGAGTCACTATATACAAGGAAAAACTGTCTAATGCCAAATGCCTTTATTATGATTGTATAGCTCTCATTAAGGCTGAGTACACTTAAGTGCACACTAAACAGAATACCCAGAGCTTCTGTTTTCAATTTTCTATGCCAGCTGAGTTGGGGTGGGGGCAACATTTTAGGGGGGCATTAACAGCAACATCCATCATCCCCTGTGTCAAAGACCCTTGGGCATTTTTTTTTGCAAACAATGCAGCAAGGCAAATTGTTCAGCTAATAAGAGCAGTATTAACTTTAAATTCAGGGACCTGGAGGGTATGGGGGAGGGCGGCTTATATTGCAACTGTGACCATAATTTAGATAATCAAATACTTACAAATTCTTAACAAGCAGTAAAATATTTTAAATAAGACCTCATTAACCACTGTAGCTGCAGTCACCGTGGAGCAATCCATACCTAAAGGTCACCACAAAAACACCTTCTCTAAGGTTCCTTTCACATGGGCTCTGTCTGTTCTGATCAGCAGGTGACCCATGCACAGATCATCTGCTGAACTAATCAGTATTGAATGGATTTCACTTTTGTGACATCCTTATCCGTTCAGTTTTTTTCCACCATCTTCCGATGAGATCCAACTGAAAAACTGGCAGGTGGACCTGAACAAACTGCCCATGTGAAAGGGGCCTAAGCCAGCTCAACTAATTCTGTTCCTCCTGGGAAGTCTTTTAATCTTAAACGTAAACATAGAAACACAGATCAGGTGCACTGGAAGTGGGGAGCAGAGTGCTAAGAGAGCCAACTTTGGCATCTTCCATATTTCCACTGTACTGGAACTTTGAGGGTCAATTCTCCACAGTGCCTGCAGCTACAGTTGCTAGTGAAGCCTTGTTTTAAAGCTCATTTACTGATTGTTTAAATGAAAATATTTAAATGTTCATAGCCAACCTACAGGTTTACTTTAACAATGCATGTTCAGTGCCTCCTTTTGTATTGCCAGCACAGAACCTGAGGATAAGTAATTCATATGTAACATAAATTAGGTTGGAAGTAATTATTTTAAATGCATTCATCAATCAGTTCATAAAGCAGCCTCCTTAAAGTTAATTGGTATGAAAGAAATAATGTAAGCTAAAATGCCAAAACAGTCAGTACTATAAACATTGTATCTCCCTGCCTTTTGGAATATGCAGGGATTTATTGTTACATTGTTACACATTAGTAGGGGGAAGCTATGAAGGCATATGCACATACTAACTACCAGAAAGTCTTCATGAGATCCTTTTGGGGGTGCAGAAGTTCCTCAAAGAATATACTATGATGCTAAATCACCCATTCCCATCAATGCCACACCAAAAATAAATTCCTCTGCTCAAGAGAACATTTACACTTCAGATGACACAAAAAAAATATATAACTTGAATTTAGGGGCAGGGTTTCAGAGCCTCTACAAGGTGTCCCATCATTCCCACTTATATTCACCTTTAATACCACTCTAATACACCCTTGTAAAATAACCGTTATGGCAAAACGTGGACCTCCTATTCTGCTCAATCACTAGGCTCGTACACTGTCATGTGATGGAGGGGGTGTTGTCAACTATTTGTAAGCTTCAACACAACCCATTAAAAGGTTCACACAGAGTTTGACTTCCAGCTCCAACAGTTTTGGGGGAAAGGTGGGTATAAATGGGTTGTGAGGTGGGCTTTCAAAAGACTGCCACATTGCACTGAATGGGAAATTGAAAGACTCTCTTAGTACAACCAGTGGCAGAACTACCAGGGTCGCAGTGGTCGCCTGTGCATGGAGGGGTGGGAGGGGGTTGCGCCGGTCGCACGCAGGTGACATGTGGGTGGGCCGGCAGTGAACAAAGGCAAATTATGGGCAGCACCGCAGCAGCAGCCCCGGCCGCTGTCCCCCACGCTAGTGTGTGTTTTGTTTTTTACAGCCTGCTTGAGCTTCCTTCAGCTGGGAGAACAAGAGGACCGTGACAGGTGAGGTAACTACTTTCCATTATAGAATATGGAATAGAACATGGCTGAATTTGGAACTGACTATATTCTATTCCATGTTCTATAATGTCATTGTATTACTAGGAAACTACAAGTCGGCAGTTCAGCTGGGACTTGTAGTTCCCTGTATGATAGAAGGCTGTTTTAATTACTGTCCTCATGAAAGTACTAGTAATACAATGCCATTATAGAAATATAGAATAGAGTATAGTTGAACTTGAAAGTTACTGTACTATAATGTCATTGTATTATTAGTATTTTCATGAGGAAAGTAATTAAAACAGCCTTCTATCATACAGCTCCCAGGACTTACAGGGAACCTGTAAGAGTTCACATAACACTGGTTGAGAAACCCTGCCCTATACTATGATTTCCGTTTTAAATATAAAAGTTGATTTTATGTCATTCATTCAGTCCCTATTCCCAGACATGTGTCACATTTAGCATTATTGATGTGACACTTCCCAGCCAACGTTTTCTGCACAGTCCTGATTGCTCAGACTGTCACAAGTATTGCAGTACAGATTTTGAGTCTAGTATTGGGCCAGTGACGGATAAAGGGGTCAAACTTACAATATTCATTACGCTCAATATGTAGTGTTCAATATCCTTTCGTCCATGATATCCCACCATCATTTTGTCAGCCACCACAAGTGTCTCCACGAACCGTTCGATACTAATCGATCTCCTCTGCCGGCGAGGACCATTTTCCGTGTCATTATTCGATGGCACCATAGGGCTAGTAATTGTATGATTTAACCACCAGGGCTTATGGTTTCCAGTGACATCTAAGGGAAAATTAAATACAAAATTATATATACTATACACTATATCCTCTAATTCTGTTCCTTCAATAATCATGTGAGTATGCCTATTTGCCCATGTAGATCACTTCCCATTCATTCATAATTGAGGATATAGTAACCATACTATGTTCTCAATTATTTACAAACACTCAGCGATTACTGATCGCTGAGTGTTTGTACCTCACTCTGCTTCCTAAAATTGTAGAAATGTCACCTGCACACCAATCCTTTTAAGATAGCAAAAGCTTCATTTATTGAAGTTTTTTGTCATATGACCAAACAAGCGCTTTCGGGACAGCGCAGGGTCCCTTCATCAGGCTTTAGCATGAGGTCAATGCTAAAGCCTGATGAAGGGACCCTGCGCAGTCCCGAAAGCGCTTGTTTGGTCATATGACAAAAAACTTCAATAAATGAAGCTTTTGCTATCTTAAAAGGATTGGTGTGCTGGTGACATTTCTACAATTTTGCTGACATTCACGGCGCCATCCGCGGTCACTGCGAGCACCCCCCACTACAAGGGACATATCGGTAAGGAGTGCGACAAGGATAGTACTCACTCTGCTTCCTGACACACTGTCACAGGACGCTGAGCGAGCGGTGCGGGGAGGAGAGCTCAACCTGACAGCTGACTCCCCCCCCGCACCGCCGGCCGGCCTCCTGTGACAGCGCTGGCTGTCTTCACCCCCACACACCGATCTCCTCTGATCTATCACAGGAGGCTTAGTGGTGTGCGAGGAGAGACGCCGGCCGCTCACAGCGCTCTCCTCCCGCAGCGCTTAGCTGCCTGTGACAGTTTCTCTCCTCCCCGCTGGGACACAGAGCAGCGCCCAGCGGGGAGGAGAGAAAAAACGGATGCACCGCTATATCGGCAAAAAAATTGCACTTTCCGCATTTTGCCAAAAGTGTCGTTTTCGGCAGATATGTTTTGGCGGCCGATATATCGGTGCATCTCTAGAATTTTCCCTTAGTTTTGTGAATGAGGGGATGCTGTTCAAATTTTTTTCATCCAATCATGTGCAAGCAAAAATACTGCTTTTTTATTTTCCTTTTATTTTAATGTCCTTCCTTATTTTCCTTGGGTATTTTTTGCAAAGTGAATTTTCAGCAACTTTCACTAAGCTAAGAGAAAATTCCCTTGCAAAATGAACAGCCTATGTGCCTTTAGTAAATCATGTGTCTACAAGAATGCATAATTATTAAAAACTAAAGTATATCTAAACCAAAACCTCTTTCTTTTAGGCTAAAGAAAATCGTTTTTCAAACCCCTGTGTAGACTGAACATGAAGTGAGAGGAAAGCTCTCCAAAGTGAGGTAGATTCTCTCTTACTTGTTACTGGAACAAGTGCCCCCATTGGAAGATTACCCTCAATGCTTGTTCTAGTGACAACTCAAAATGTAGGACTTCCTCAATTTCAGTCGCAGTGATAATGGTAGGACAAACAGAGGAAGTGCATCTCTCCAGCAAGAACACAGACAGCATTAAGAAATCGAACAGGGATTCTAATTTCTCACTAATTATCCAATACTAAAAAAAAAAAAAAAAAAAAAAGGTTTTGCCTTCAGATCTTCTGTCAAGAGAAAATAATGGAGACTGCCAATGTTGGCCTTATTTTGAAAATGTTAGTTGTCGGCCTACTACAAAAGCCTGTAACTTGTCAATCAGACATTGGTAACAACCAGTCCTGCCCACAGCTTTCTAGACTGGCAGAACTGACTGTATTGCTGAAACCCTCCCAACTTTGGCTGCAGTGCCTGGGAGTGGGAGTATGTGAGACACAAATGAAGGAGGATTTGAATGACTCAGGGAAGGTAAAAGTTTTTTATTTGATTTAATAGGTTCTTGCATCACATAATAACTGGATATCAGACATGTTTATATTGTCACACAGGAGCCTTTTCGATGTACTTCTAAGCCCATCACTAGGTAAATCAAATAATTACCCATGCAGTAGGGCTACCACCACAGTGAGAGTGTTAAGTGCTCTTTTTGTCTAGGGGGCTGGATTAAATCTGTTTTACTTAACTGATCCCTGCTCCTGCCACTTATTTCTGGGCTGCTAGACTAGTCCTCCCAGCTTCTTCTCCTCTGGGTTCCAGTGGTTTAAGGACTGCTGATGGCATCACAGTTAATGCAGGTTGCATAGACCTTTAGGGCCCATCCAAACTTTTGCGAACCCTTGGAATGTGGTACTGCATAATAATGAGCATTATGTTATAGCAGCCTATTCATTATGAATGGGATGAAAACACATCTTATTGTATCAAAAAATGCACATGACAATTTTCTAGCAACACAACGCACATAGTATATGTGCATTGCAATAAGGTGAGCATTTCTTTAACACAACAGTGAGAATGGGGCTTAAGTTTCCTTGTCATGTTTTTTCCCTTTTTTTACATTTTAATGTTATTTGAGTACTTTATATTTTTATTTTACTTTTTTTTTTACTGTCTGTTTATATTCTTTCAATTAAAAAAGTGTAAAATAATGAGGCTAACGAGGGTCCATTTTCTGACACAAGAACAGGTCCAGGATACATAAGGTTCTGTTACCCTTAGGAAACCTTTAAAGCCCATTGTATCCTTTCACCACCACCTTATACCACAACCACCTTAATTACACCTGCAATTCCTCTAAAATCTTTCCAATATAACCAAAAATTGAAGAAAGAGCAAACTTTCCAATCTCCATTTTGCACCTTCTAGAGGGATGAATAGTAAAACAAACCACACGTCACCTTTACCACATGACAAATGTAAAGGTGTAAAATATAGCCTTATGCTTTAATAGTATAGAAGATGTTTGCGCCATCACACTTCTCTTACCTTTCACACCGCAGTGTCCTTTGCTACTTGAATGTCGGTGATGGATGGCAGACTTTCTGTAAATGACATGAGGGTGGCCCCTTTCCAAGCTAAAGTGATTGGAGTTTTCTGTTATGTTGTCTAAAGGTTCAATAAAATATTCTTCATCTTCAGTAGCGATTACGCCATGCTTGGATGGAAAAGAATAGGAAAGGGATTTAGACAAGCTGGGGAGACTTGAGCTGTTTGCATTAAACCTGATGACGTCTGGGAAATGTAACTTAAATGTGAATATTTCCACTTTTTTTTTAATCTTTACAGAAGAAATGCATTAATCAACCTGCAGTGAGTGAAGCAAGCAGTCTGCTCTGAAATGAACATTTTATCCACCTTCCCAGTGATTGTACAGATAATATTCAGCTTCACATTTCATTGCAGAGCTCAGCAGCTGGACAGTCAGGAACATGACACAGGTCTCCAGGAGCCCGTATAAAATCTATCCCACCTACACACTCTCGAAAGCATCACTTACATTCCCTGAAGTCATACATATCATTGCAGTATGATGCACTCGTTAGACCGAAAATGTACAAGTGCCTTGCAAAGCATTGACCCCCTTGGTGTTTTTCCTGTTTTATTGCATTACAACCTGGATTTTTGGAGGTTTGTACCATGTGATGTACACAACATGCCTAACACATTGTGACAAACAATAACTAAGACAAAAACCCAGAAATCTTGAGTGCGCATTAGTATTCACTCCCTAAAAGTCAATACTGTGTAGAGCCATCTTTTGCTGAAATGACAGCTGCAGGTCTCTTGAGGTATGTCTTTATTAGCTCAGCACATCTAGCCACTGGGATTTTTGCCCATTCCTGAAAGCAATTCTGCCCCAGCTCCTCCAAGTTAGATGGGCTGTGTTAGTGTACAGCAATCTTCAAATCACGCCACAGAGTCTCAATTGAAATGAGGTCTAGGCTTTGACTAGGCCATTACAAGACATTTAAATGTTTTATTCAAGAATTGTCATGTATCTAGTGTTATTCATTTTTCCCTTATTTTTCCAGTCCCTGCTGATGAAAAGTATCCCCACAGCATGGTGCTGCCACCACCATGCTTCACTGTGGGGATGGTGTTCTCAGGGTGGTGGGAAGTGTTAGGTTAGCACCACACATAGTGTTTCCCATGATGGTCAAAAATGGGGGGGTGAATACTTTTAGAAGGCACTGTATAGTAAGGGCCATGTCTCTATAGTGATCTTGGTACTAGCAACATCTTGCCAGCAGCAGAATTGCTATATGGGCTAAACAGGTTAGCAAAGTACTTGCCTGTTTCTGTGTCATTCCTTCGATGGCTGGGTGAGTGGGATGTCACCCTCTTACTGGTGAGTTATATTCTGCAGGATTTCCATCAGCAAGGGAGCAACGCCTTACCCATCCAGCCAGTGAGAGAGAGGAACATGGAAGCAGGTGAGTATTTTCTCTCTAGGGTTTAGTGATTGTTAACAATGACATGATCACATTTGTGTGTTCCCCTAAGTGCAAATAGAACATAATGCTTGTTTAGCCGAAAAAGGCTCTAATAGAATGCATTATATGCAGTATACCGCTGGTCCAGCATTGTACATGGTGACATTGGTGAGAGGGGAGACTACACAAATGGAGAAGAGGTGCAGCTTTGGGGGACAGGTCACCACTACCGGAAACAGCAGGGAGAAAGCCTGCAGGACCATGGAATCACAAAATGAATCCTCCCAATCAGAGCCTTCCTCCATGTATAGTGGGGAAGCCGCCCACATACATTTTTTTTGCCAAGCCCAAAGTTGGCCATTAAAGGAATATTAGTACATGTCTTCATATCCAGCCTGCTCACTGCACACTGCAAACGGATGAGGTCATCCACCTGCTCATTCTGCTCTCTCTCCTTATCAGAGGGTTCCTTGTTATCACACTTGAGTGCAGCATACTTCACTGGCTCACACTGTAAATCTCTCTCCCCATCCGAGCTTTGCAGTGCAGTTTGCCACTTCAGACACAAAGGACATTCTGGAGCACCATTTTCATATTAGGACAGACTGCTGTGCCCACAACCAACTAACACTACCAAAGCCCTGAAGAAGGGAGACCCACACTATCCCGAAATGCATTGGATATGGTTTAGTTTATACACTAATAAAGTGATCATTGTCCTCCAACTGGTCAGAATTTCCAAGACTTTCTATTTACGCACAGCGATCCCTCACCCACTTCCACAATACCCTATTTAGCCATCAGGAGTGAAAAGAAAGCCCGTGTAAGCTATACATTACTGGAGTCATACCTTACACATGGCTAAGGACATATATCAGTTCTTATTGGTCAAGCATTCCAAAGCTTTTAGGTCACATGGAACAAATCACATGCAACACTATTTTAAAAAGTATTACGCATTTTCTTCAGCTTCCACCCAACAGAGCAGCAGAAGACAAAGGAAAGTATGTAAACGCCACTGAGAATGGGGGAAGATGTTAAAATAAACACTTTGCTTTGAATTGGAAAACTCAAAATTAAATTGCTCAGAGATATTTGACCACACACACACACATAATGTAACCTAACATACCTCATGTACCAAAGTGGGAAAGAAAATTGACTGTGCATGGCCTGCATTATGTGTATTCTACTTACTTATTTTTCTTACTACTAAAAACGTTTTAGATGTTCCAACCCTATCTATCACCATTGCAGTGGACAGCACAGCAACAACAATTAAATGGAAATGTAGGGAGAGAAACCTGAAAAGGGCATCTGAACCCTAAAGACAAATTGAGCAGAAATATATACTAAATAGGAATAGCGATCAATAGGCAATTTTAATGCAGAGCCCCCATTCGTTAAGCAGACTATAGTGTACTCTCAGCTTGTAACTATTTTAATATCACTACTAATAGCAAAGAGCTTATTCCAAAAGGTGCCAAATGGGCCCAGACACTAAACAGAACACTGCAAGTCAACAAAAGTCGCATCCAAGCTATAGAAAGATGGCAATCTGTTCAGACATGAAGTCTGCAATCGCAAAGTTCAACAATAGCAACTACAGGCTATGAAAGTTCAAGTTTGAAATACTGCTAAGCAAAGATGACTTGTGGCAAGTACTGAGTATAGACAGACCCAATAATGGGCCCACAGAGGAATGGGACAAGAAGAACAGGCAAGCAAAAGCAATTATATGTCTGCTAGTGGAAGACAACCAGCTTATCCAAATAAGAAAACAGAATACAGATAAAGGAATGTGGACTGCATTAGTTTCACTCTTTGTATGCCTGATGAAGGGATTCTGAAACGTCTCCATGGTCTCTGTGGTTGTGACACCACAGAGGTCAATAAAATATTGACTGAACTTGAGCTGGAGTGTGAGTGACTTCTTCATATTTATGGTGTATTGACTCAGGTGCAGCAAATCACATGACTAGTGATGAGGGCTTCTTCACAAAATGTATTTCAGTGCAAAAGGACAAAGTTTTCCTAGCAAACGGGAAAGTACACACAGGAGTCAGAACAAGAGGTGGAACTTACAATGGATAAGTCAAGATCCATGTTAAATTCTGCTGGACAAACTGAAATTAGAAGATTCACATGGACGACAAAGGGAATACTACCCTGTAAGCTGTCATATACTGCTAGGGCACATAGAATACTCGAACCAACATCGTGGAAAGACAGAAAAATTACCAAAATGTGTAGTCAACCAATGGTGTATAAAGCTGACAAATAGAAAGAGTCAACCCTCGAAACCAAGCATTTCGATGTGAAGAATCATCTGCTAAGGGACACTCAAGAGCAAGCCATTATCGACATGCAATATTGCTCATCAGAAGAAATGACTGCGGATACGCTCCCTAAGCCATTGCCAAAGGATCGTCACAGTTTCCTTTGAGAGAAGCTAAACGTCATATAGCTACACATGTGAAGGGGTGCTGGAAAAGTAGCAACATATGCTGATATGTACTAATTGTATTACTGACATTCTGATGTGTACTGATATGTCTTTTGAGTTGTAGATGGTGCTGTGGTGCAATGCTAGTATTTATGCTTGCTAATCTATGATATACAGGGAGTTTTCCTATATATAGTTTTCCCTTACAATGCTGTATTCTGATGTAATGTTCTCCTAAGCAAATAATATTAATTAAGCATTCATCAAGATCTCAGTGCTTCAACTAAACACATAACCAACAAAATATCATAATGCAGCAGTGAGAGAGTTATACCAAACCTCTGAAATACAAACTGATGTGTTAAACAGAAGGCACCTCTAGGTGAACCTATGGCCAGGCTATGTACTTAACATTTAGAACAAGCCCTCACCGACCTCTGTAGGTCAATGAGGGTTTAATCAAAAGTTAATTTACTTGTTGTTAAAGATGTGTTAATGCTTGAAAGTTTATAGCCTCGTCACTGGTTCACTTTAAGTCGCCACAGCATACCTTTCATTTGTTTCCCAAAAAGTGCTGCTGGAGCCAGATTGAAACATTTGGGTATAAGGAGAATGGGCTTCATACTACACTAAAATCAAATTGCCCCTAAAGCATTAGTGTTTCCTTTTAAATCCTGCTCTAATCCTGTGGGACTCTGTGGGACTTTCTCTTTTGCAGCAATAGGTTATGTTGCAAAATGTTATATTTGATGGGTCAACTCTCATTACTAGTCACCTTACCAGTAATGGGAACTCCAGATATAATTGGTATCATCGCTCCTTTCTCTCTGTAAAAGTCTGTGACTCTGTATTAGGCTATGCCAATTCAAGCAACAACAAACAATTTACTTCTGAGAATGCTAGAATCACCATACTGATGATTTGGCTTCAACCCTTTCTCAGTGACAGAGCAGGAACATGCACACGTGCATCACTTGCTGCATACTTATTCTGAATATATGACTCAAAAGAATCGAAGTCAGGCATATTTGAATAATGTGAAGAGTGGATAATGGCTAGCTTGACAATGTCCCCCAGTAAACACTGTACCAGCCAGTCAGGGTTCCACCCTGACTTAACTGGTTTGAGTAATTCTGGCTTGGCTTCCATGTTACCCACCTCTGACTCCAACTTTGTCTGAGCAGACTCTAACGTTGTTTACTACTCCTAGGCTCCCTCTTATGGCCAAACAGGAGAGCATCATCTGAGAGAGCCAGATTGGAGTTTCCTGTCCCT